GTAGAGGTGACAATTCAGCAAGTCAGATCAGGTTTAGGTCATTTCTGGTTTTCACTTTTCTGGTCGTTTTAGAATTGATTTTTGTTAAGTTCGAATATTAACCTTTTGAGTAAATTCATATTGGGTTTCAGCAAGTTTTTAGGTTCAGGTCAACTTTTGTCACAATTGAGTTTGAGTTAGGATGGCAGTTTGGGCTCACTGGCCTGGGCTATCTCACATTTGGTCCTTTTGAGTTTGGGTTGTTGATGTTTCAAATAATTTCTGGTTGGGTTTTGGATGGGTTGAGCAGGTTATGTTGGTTGGATAAGCTTTGTCTACCTATTAGTATTCCTCTTTTTTGTTACAAATAGAAGCCAAGGTTGCTCTCATATTTGAAATTGATTATTTTTTATGTGGCAGGTTCCAGACTTTGAGAGATCTTATACCTCAAAATGATCAAAAAAGAGACAAGGCTTCTTTTCTGTTAGAGGTCCCTACTCAATGATGTTCTTTTCTGTACTACATGCTACATTACATATGTATATACATGCAGAAATATAATATAATATTTTTTGTTCCTCTTGAATGGATTTTGAATATCATCTACTTTGATCTGTAGGTCATCGAGTACATTCAGTTTTTACAGGAAAAGTTGCAAATGTATGAGGGATCTTACCAAGGGTGGAGCCAGGAGCCGACAAAACTGATTCCATGGGTAATATTCTTAATGCTTGATGTTTGGTCCTCTTTATGTGCATGCTGATGTGGATATTTTCCTTGAATTTTTATTACTTTTACCTTGATGTGTTGATATCTGTTAATGTTTAAGATTGATGTCTCCAATCCTGCATTATTGGAGATTTAAAATGCTAAAAGCGTGGGTGTTAAAAATCTAGTGCATACTATTGAATCTTTATTGGAGACACATGTTGCTAATCATACATCTAGTAGTTGTGTCCAATAGACAATAGATGAATGCACCCTGTGTTTAGGGCAAGAGGAAAATATATAGCAAGAGGGTGGATGTTATTTCTCCTTGGTTAGAACTTGTGTTCATGAGTTGCAACTGGAATTTTCTACAAATAATAATTTTCTATCATGTTACTTTTCATAATTTGAGAGGAAGCTTACTTTTTTTTTTTGTTGCTGTTTGAACAGAGAAATCATGGGCTTGCAGAAAGTTTTATTGATAATTCTCAAGTTATGAAGAATGGATCTAGTTGTGAGAATAATGTCATCATTCCGTCAATACTTGCAAATACGCAGAACTCAATTGAGTCTGACTTGGGTAATGCTGCAGTTTTCAAAGCACTGGATCATCCCCCTGGGTCAGCTACTTCTATGGTTAACATGCAGACACAACCGAACACATTTGCTACTCATGGAAGAGGTAGCATCCCTACACAATCTTTCCATGAGTCTGCTTCTGATTCTGAGAATGTGGTGTATCGACCCCAATTTCAGTCATGGCAAAGTAGAGAGTGTCTAACTGAGAGTGCTGTTCCAAACAATTCAGCAAATGGACAGGAGGACTTGACCGTCAGAGATGATTCAGTAGGTTTGTCAAGTGCCTACTCTCAAGGGTGAGCAACTGCCATGTATTTCTTACAATTCTGTTGTTTTAATTGTCAGAATTTCTCATGGGTAATAATGTATTACTTTTCTAGCTTTAATAACTTTGCCTGACCTATTATATCACGTGGAAACAGTTGCAATCAAAGATTTCCAGCTCTAAACTCATTGAAAATTAATACCCATCTGGCCATTATAGTCTTCTAATATTGATGAGTACGCTGGACAATGAGTCATATGGGATGCAGGCCTTACATAGAATACCATCCGTTAATTAACGGCATTGATCTTAGATGCTCATGTCTCCACTGAGATTAGGGGCTGGTGTTTCGGAGGTTTACTTACCGCTCATATTTAGTCAATGTCCGTAAATTATGGTGACTAATCTTTATTTTTTTAATAAGAAACCTTCATAGTTAAAGTCTTGGCTTGTAATTCTTTGGATTTTGACCTGACATGATGTACAAAATAATGGTATTCTGACAATTTATTTCCCAAATTTTAGAGTTAATGATGTTATTCTGTTTAATCATGGCATTTCTATGACATGTCCTCGTAGGTTTTATACATGCTATTAAAGAGCTGGTTTTTGGGTTAAACAGGATATTGAACTCTCTGACCCAAGCACTGCAGTCTTCAGGTGTGGATATGTCACAGGCAAGCGTCTCTGTGCAAATTGATGTTGGTAAACGAGTAGCTAGTGGAGTGACTTCTATGGCATCCAGTTCTAAGGTTTAGTTATAATCCCTTCCACTTCTTTAAAATCCTTTCTTCTAGATTAAGTAGATCTAAGATTTTTGTTTTCCTGTTCCTCTATCTTCAATTATCCCTATTCCCCTCGAGCAATGCATAGAAACCATTTACTTCCTTTTTTTTTATTACCATTCTTTTTGTTTTCCTTTTCATTTAGGAGAAAGAAATCCAATATAGAAGCAATCAAATGATAGCACAAACTGGAGCTCATAGCTACACTGAGGAGTCTGATCAGGCTTACAAGAGGCGCAGAACAGGAAAAAGCTAGGTGAATCCTAGTCACTTTCTCTTTGCCCGTTTTGCTTCTTCATTCAGGTTCCTTTATAGTCTGATTGGGGTGCTCATTTTTGCCATGCCATTGGCCACAGATTATTAGGTCTTCAAAGACCAAATGTAAATGTTTGTGCTTCTTGGTTTGCCAGGTCGCATTGATTCTCCTAGGGAGAAAATTGTTACATATTCTTTTATTTGTACTTGTTTGAGACAGAGGCTTCCATGCATATATGAGAAGCTGCTTTATTATTGCTGCTATTATTATTTAATCACAGTATCTTCCGTATCCCTTGTGAAAGCTTTGGGCAACATTTTCTTGTCCGCTGCCTCTCCCCACCCTTTTTTTTTTGAATTACTTTTGTGTTCTCATTACCAAGTGTTTCGTGTAGATGTAATAATGATTTCCATTTTGTAATTGCATGAATCACGATTTAGTAACTTGGATTGTATAGGGGAATAATGTCTTTGACATCCTGCTGTTGCATTTTAAGTTAGACAAGTATAGGATTGTTTGGATGAGCTGGAAAAATAGATTCCCAGGGATTGGATGCAATAGGACTGGAGGGCTGCCGGTCTGCCGCTTGGTAAAAAAACCATTACCCTTTATTACCACAAGTCAACTTGGCTCATTTATCAAGCAAATTATCTCCTCAAAATGAAGAGAAGAAGCTCTGGTGATAATGGTTTAAGAATGTTTTTGGCTTGAAAATCGTTTACCATGATAAAAATTTATCGAGAAAGATGAGTAAAAGCCGTTGACGATCCCTAAGTTGTGCACATTTCCATGTTACAGTCACTTAATTATACCCAAGTTGCTCATGCTTGACAAGTAGAATAGGATGAAGGGATAGGAGAGGATTACCTCTTATTTCAAAAGAAAAAAAAGATAATTAAATGGCCATCTCATCTGATAGGTTGACGTTTATTTAAAAATTAAATAGATAATTTGAACCATGGCACTTATCATCATCATCATCATCATCATCATCATCATCTTCATCTTATCTTTTCCATCATGTAACCTCGGAAAAGAAAATGAGGACTTAAAAGAGGCTTTTAAACCCAGGATGGGAACTATATCATACGCAAGAAAACAGCATTTAAATATATTTGGGTTGTTGGATATTCATGAGAACTTTGAAACTTTTATTAAGTAAAGGCCACTTTTTAGGCATGAGTTGTGTTGTGTGTGTGGTGCGAAAGCAACTTTGAGGGGCCAGAACTGCCGCCCATCTTTGAGTGGGTGCAAATTTAAGGGACTTAGTAGCTAATCCCATCTATGACCATAAACTGCTAGGTCCTTAGTGGGGAGGTGGGTGATTTCTTGGATCACCCCACAATGCCAATTTTTCTTGGATCAGTGTCAAGTTCTCTCTTGGATCACTCACTTCCCCTCTATTTCCTCAACTCACCCATTTTCTTATTTGCTTCCTTGACTCTCTCTTTACCACCCAAAGTTTATGTTAAAGGAGGCTCCTAGGGATTTTGAATGATGGGTTGAATTAAAAAATGTGGAATTACAAGGTGTATGAGTGCATAGTGGGCAATCATTTAGGCATTATGGGGTATTTTTTTTTATTTACATCATGGAAGGTTGGAATGCAACAATGTTTTCATTGAATTAAAATCCTTATAATTATGTTTTTGACAACTAAATATTATGGTAGAGACATGAGTTTGAGTTGACCCCAACAATTCAAACTCGCATTTGGCATGTGCATATTTTCCATCATTTTTTAATTTACAGAGAATATCTTTAGTAATTTAATATATATAAAAAAAGAATTTTAAAAAAATGTATTTGATTATTTAAAACAATGAGGGAATGACATGGTTTATTTGAGTACTCCTCACAACTCCTGAAATGGCATGGCTATACTTGGATCATTTTCCGAATCATTCAGCATATCTTTTGCCGATTTCTTGCTTACATCTTGCCAAATTGGGGTTAGTGCGTACATTGAACAATATAGAAATACATATAATCATGTATTGACAACTAACTAATAATGATGGAAAGCCATGATTCGGGCTTGTAACAAACTTCGAAATGGCAAGTGAACTGATGGGAATTATTTGTTTTGGTATAAATCAACAGCTGTTAGAATCAAATGGAGAGGAAGGTTTCTTTACTCTTCCCCTTTTGTCCCCCAAAGGAACAGCCATCACTCCATGGATGCCACCAATGATGTTTCTTTAAAAACAAGGAAAGCTTAATATAATAACAGGAGCCCTTTTGTTTATTCCTTGGAGCACATGGAATTTGGTATGTATTTGTTAGACATTAATATCTATCATCTCAGGTGGTCTAGAAAATCTTAAGCAATGTATATTCGCAAGTTAAGTAGGGATAGAAATGTTTGAATTTCCCGCTACAAGTTTGATGCTGACACCCAGAAGGGAAAAAGAAGAACTCTTTAAAGTGCTGCAAACTGATCTTAGGCCTGCAAATTGCAAAGGGTAATTTTTTTTTTTTCACTCTATACATGAATGTTATTATTCAAGAATGTAAATGATTATAAATATTCTAGGGGTGGTTCTGAAGAAATCCGGGCTCAAGGCCTGAATTGGTCCCCAAAAGCTAGTTATGTGTGCACAAGTAGACCGATGTCTGATAAATATGTATTAAGTACAGAGTGTGATTGAAGATAATCATCTAACCGGCATGATTTGGATCATGTACTTCTCAAAGGTTCATCTAACAGTTGTAGACATTCGTGTGGATTAGAATAAAAGTAATCTTCTTCTTTCGGTCTATCTGGAAGGACATTCCTTTTCTTAGGGCTTCCCATTCTATCAGCATGAACTTCCTTCACGGTTGATGCGAACTCATCCCAGCTTAATGATCCATTCTGGTATTGATCTATTAAATTGACCAAAAGCTTTCTCTCTAGCAAGATAGTTTTCTTGAATCCCAAGAATCTGGCATGCGATAAAAAGACAATACCAATATAAATCAGATCAGTTGAACATGCCAATAGCTAAAATATGTGCCAGCATAGAAATGTAATGCTCTCTGAAGTATCTAGCTTCTCATTTTTAAGCAGTTGAGTTTAAGAATATAGTTTTTTTTTTTTTTTTTTAAGTAAAATATTAGGCTACAAGTGTGGATGTATTACCTCCGATGGCCTTCAACGACTTTGGCCATGTTTCCATCATATGTAGGAACAAAAATATCACTTTCTAAAGAGACTAGATAATCCAATGCAGCCATTTGGGATGAGTGGTTTTGGAAGAATTTCAAGTCTGATGGTCTTAGCAGAGTCTCCTTTCTGACCTGTTGTATAAAGTAGAGCAAAATTGTTGGAGCACACACACACATAGAAGTGAAAAGGTTATTTCTACTCTTTACTGACCAAATTAGGAAAAGCTTCTGCCATAGGCGCCATTCTTCTTTCACCACCATAAATTTCTCCGGCAGCAATGTAGATTTGAACATTCCGATCAATACCCAATGCTTTTAAAACTAGAGCAGTTTCTTCAGGTGTCAAAGGGCACAAACCTTCTTTCCTTTTCATTTCTGAATTTATAACCTTTTCCTTCCACCAGGGATAAGCATACCTATAGCATTTGATTTGCCATAATTAGTGAAAGGATGACAAAAATTGAGTTTTTCCTTAATTATACCTATTGAAGCAACAAACAGGCTTACCTCATTCTTGTAAGTTCTTCCTCTTCCTCACTGTTGCAACCATGAGTGCATCCGGAAAAAGCCAACATGTCCATTTCATATCTGAGATGAAGGACAAGAAAAGGGCCTTTTTCCCTTAAAATCTTGACAACCCTTCTACCCAATTCCTCTATTTGGGAAGTAAATCTCAGTGCATTAAAATTTACACGGCAACGCAACTTCTGAATCTCAGGCGGTAGTTCATTATTAGCAAGCCGAGCATCAGTTTTATTCAACTCCACAACTTTGTGCTTTTGCACTAAAGGAAGAATCTGCCAGCAAATACTCAAGAGATTAGTTGCATTACAACAAATAGAAGAAACACAGAAACAAAAAGGCTATTCCAGCTTTAATCCATAGGGAACTAACCTGATGAACATAATAAGAAATATCAGACCAACTAATGGGTTGCATAGAGAGGAACAGTCCTTGATCAACTCTTTGCTGAACTCGAGGTGGTAATTCCTTCAATATGCGAACCTCATCTCTCAAGGAAGTGATGAAGTAATCAACATCAAAAATGTCCTGAAACTCACTGCTCATGAACAATCAATTAATTAGAGGACCATTTTGAATTGCAGGGGCGAATTCTAATAATTTTTTATTACCCAAAAAAATTAAAAAAAATGTACCTAGGATCATTCCAGAATGAGGTTTTATCTAGTTCAGGGACAATGAGAGTGACATTCAAATATCTGGCAATGGCAACCATGTCACATATCTGCAAAACCGAAGCAGGAGTAAAAAGAAAAGTTAGCAACTGGACAGGAAAGTCATGAGCAAAACATAAATAAAAGAGTGAAAACGGATAACAGAAAAGTCATGAATTGATGCCAAAGACAAAACCGGCTATCTACTCACCGCTGCTCGCATTTGGTTAAGTCCTCCATTGCAGGAAACCATTAGATAACCATTATTCTTATATACCCCTGCAAGAAAACAGTAAGCAAAAATCAGAAGAGTAATCATAAACAACTTAATTTGGGATATTCTACATTTTATCAAAAGAAAAAGCAGAACGTCCCCATTATTCGAAAAGGTTTCAATGGCTGAAAAGCCAAGCAAAAGAATCACAGCTAAATTAACGTAGGAAAGGGGGAAAAGAGGAATGATAAAAATAAAAAAGTAAAGTCTTTGTCAAGGACTTAAAGGCATCAGTGACAGAAAATTGCCTGTTCACGAGAAAGGGAATCTTATAAAGAAACACCAATTATGGAATAAAGGAAAATTATTGAAATAAATTGTGGCATATTTAAGAAATTGAAAACCAAAATCATATGAGATGGGATTTCTTCATTTGCATCGGTGCCTTAAAAACTGTAGGAATTAACATTGAAACGAGACGCTAAGTACTTACTTTTTGGTGGAAGAATGACTTTTGGTGGAATAGAAGACAATTCAGCAACCAAAGGCAACTCAGTATGGCTGAAACAAGAAGGCCAACCTTTCAACAATCTTGGACCAAACATCTCCCCCAGTGTCATCAACTGAGCAAAACAAGTCCATAACAATATTGTGGTCATCGCCCTGATCATCCATAGCTTCATTCTAGACCTTGAAACCATTGAATTCTTCAACTTCTCCACTTTCCCTTCTCCAAAAATCTTCATTTTGATTTCCCACTGTTTCCTGTAATCACACTTTCCACTTGTCTCGTCTACCCTACACATTGTAACTTACCATTCCCCTCCTTTCACCTCAATCTCAACTCCACAAAAAACAATTTAGTAAAAGTTCCTCACTTGATCCAAAAGTTCAAGCTTTAATTAATATAATGCAAAAACTCTGAAACTTGGTTTATCCTCCCAGTACAAAACAAGGCAAAAAAAAAAAAAGAGGTTATTTCCCACACAAGATAAGGTGATTCCTGAAAACTTTAATTAACTTAATCACCAGCTCCTTGAAACTCTAAACTTCCCTTGATGACCAAAACTTTTGCATTTAAAAAATCAAAGCCTCAGCTTCATAGAAACACCTAAACTTTTCGTCACCGAGAAACAACAACAGCTCCACCAAGCTCACCAAAACCAAAACAGACCCAGATTAAAAAAACCACTTTTTTGGCGGAAACATTATAAACTCTCCACATACATTATCAAAATAAGCAAAACCCGGAATTGATATGATTCAGTTTCAACTAAATCTCCACTAGCTCTTATAAAAAAAAAGGGTCTTTTAAAATGACCAAAAAAGTGTGTTTCTTTAGCTTATGAGAGAATGCTAAAAGGGAAAGCTCAAAAGGGGTTCTTGTTTTCCCGGGGAGATTTCCCAACCAGATCCCGGCGAGGACGTCGCCGGTGAACAGCTGAGAAAGAAACCAAAGTTTCGAGCTTGAGAGAAAGAGAAGGGGGCGGGGGGGAAGGGGGTGGGGAGACAGAGAGAAGGTGAGCTTTGAGTTGGGATTTATTAGTAGAAATATATAAATAAAAGGAAAGCCAGGTGAAGCAGGAAAAGTAAAGCCTGTAATCAAGGCGTCAATGTGTTGGATTTTTACTGTTAAGAAGTTGGGGGACGTGAGGATTAAGAACTCTTTTCTTAGCCTCACTGAATTACTTACTAATAATAGTTATTTACTTCTTCAATTTTAACCTTACCTTTTGACTATTGTTGTTAACAAATCAAGAGTCTACTACTAGTAATAAATTTGGGTAACCCCCTAATATTTTAACAATTTCTTCTCTTTTATCAAAAAAAAAATTCGAGACATATGAATCGACTCAATGTGCAAATTATACAATGTATGTACATAACATTGTGTAATATATACTTGGAGAGAGACGATGCAATTTGAACTCGATTTGTGTAATAAGGATGTTAGATTATTAGTGAATTACACTAAATTTAGAATTCGAGTTGTAGTGAATATCTTAAATGATTTTTGACCTAGAGGTGATTGTGAGTTTAATTACCAAGTTAATTTTTGACCTATTTTTGACAGTTCTTACCCCCCAAAATAAATAAAACAAACATATCTTAGATTGTACATTTATTTATTTTTTATAAATATTATCTTAATTTGACCTTTGTCATAAGGATGTTTAACTTCAATTTATAATGATTTTGAATTTAATTTGATTACAAAGTTTTTTTCTTTAAAATTTATCCTTCAAAACGTTGACAACAAAAAAATTAAATTCAACACACTATTGATGAGATCAAACATAAATTGTTTTACTTAATATTTATTGATTTGTTGTAATCATATACAATGGTTGAGTCAAGTCCGATGGATCCTACTACTATTTTCGTAGTAAAAATTGTGTATAAAATATAAACTCTAACCGATCCAAGTGGATATCAGATAAACGATTGTCCATGTATATCAAATTGATTTGAATAGTTTACCATGTCAAATTTCACTCGTAAATGCAACTACGTACTAATCGAAAAGTTTTTTATATGCTAGATTTCTGGGTTTTTTTTTTTTGGTTGGAATAATTTTGGGAAGCTTGACCAAATTTAAGGTTTAATGATAAAGGTAAGATCTGTTTCGAAATTTTTGGAAATGGATTAGCTAAGGTCTCTAAGAACCCTGTGATCCCTTAATCAAGGTAATAACCACAAATAATGTTGCCTTAAAGAAGGCCCAAATTGAGAAATTGCATGCTTAAAATCTACCTAAGTTTGTAGCATACTTGCCTTTGAAGTATTTTATCCAATTCTTGTTAACATCAATGGCCACAAATGAACATCAATAGTGGCCCCGAGCTAAAAGAATCCTCCTTTTCAACGTTATGTTTTTTCCTTCTGAAATGGTAGAAGGATCACACAGCATCAGATGAATGCATTCTCTAATAATTCAAACTTTGGATTTATTTAAAAAGAATGCTTTAGCCGCCTAGGCTGATAGTAGTCTAATGGGACAAAATCCACCAAAACATTGAAAGAGAAAGAGAGAACGTTTTCATATATTTATTTATTTTATATGTACTTTCTTCGGTAAAAATCCACAATAAATAAATTATATCGTCCGTGAGTCAAAAGAAAATATGTTATAAGTGTCCAATATTTAAGCTTAATGATAACGATAATGATGAGTTTATGGATAAATTTTGAAGTTAAGATCACTAACTATTAAGAGTTGAGAGGGACAAAAATTTCCAATGGAAGTAGTTTGTCCTTGCCTGGACGGGCAATGTATAAGTATCTTGTCATTCTCTTCTTATTAGACATGTGATAAATACTTATACTATGATGAATTTTTGCTACAAATTTTGGGCCTCAAATGCCTAATCCAATTGCATAATACTGTCCACAAATATTGGATTTTTAAAGTTTTATTATTACTATTATTATTATTATGTAGAATGATAGTAAGCTTTTGAGAAAAAAGAAAACAAAACTAATGTGTGTGCTTGTTAAATTCATCAAAACTTTAAAGAAATAAGTTTTAAATAAATACATGCAGTCTAGAGTCTTTATTTTTCTAAAAAACTTTTAAATGAATTAAAATCTTATCCAACTTTATTTTTTTTTTACATTTATTTTATTAGAAGTCATTTCGGCAACTCAAATTTATAAAAATATAAAAACATTTCTCTCTTTTTCCTTTTTAAATTATTCAGAGGTGCTTGTGTCATGAGGGATGTTCAGGTATAATTAATTAAATAGCTTCAGCACTAAAAGCTTTATTATTAAATTATTAGATAAATGGTTTTCAAAATATTATTGACATAAAAAAGCCATGGTATTTTTGAGAAATTTCACTATTTAATTTCCATGTAAATTACTTAATAAAAAGTTCATTCATGAGATTAGTAGAAGCTGCATTTGTGCCTAAATCTCTACTTTCCTCTGCATATCATATGTAGGTAGAAATAAATTTTATTACTATCCATGTGGTAACAGAGATTAAGAGAGACCTTTTTTTTTGGTGTGTCTTGTGTATCAATCAGTGAGAAACTATATGTATTGCTAGTGATAATTTCATCGTTTGCAGACAAAGAATTAATAAATATGGACAGTGTGCCATCCAAATAAATTATTCCCAACTCCCAACTAAATTAATTATTAGCTTACTTCCATAATGCAATTAATCACGTCTAAAATCTAGGCTTTTTATTTATTTTCTTTTTTATTTAACCACATATAGGCAAAGAGAACCTTGCTTTAGATAATATCTAAATGAAACTGTTTAAGAAAAGAGTAAAAGAAAAAAAGTTAACAACTATAATAAAGCAAGATTAAAACCTCACTACTTTTGAAAAAAAAATTGGGTGGACAGCATCATTATTAAGGCTATGTTCCATTTATGGTTTTAATTAGCTTTATAATTTGCATTTTAAGTGATATTTGATGTCACTGTTGTAATTGTTATGTATAACATATGATAGGTTGCATGCATGTTTCAAAATGTTTTCTTGATATAAAATTTTTTTGAATTAATTAAATGAAAGATAACTGACTTCCCATCTCATCAATCTAAAATTTAATTATAAATTTTACAGAGACGGTAATTTTAAAATCTCTGTATTTATCTTTAAGACACTCCAATTCGAAGACGAAATAATATACATACACTTATCATTAAATTACTATTTAATGTACATTTACCAATTCACAAGATGTTTAGTGGAAACCGATACTTTTTGAACGCTATCACAGTGGAAAAGAGTAACAGTGTAGTCTCCATGGAAAAGACGGCAGTTGCCTACCTATCAATTGTAGATTTGCCTTGTTTCTTTATTATTTCTTCAGTTGCTAGTGTGGAGTGTCTGTAGTGTAATTGTATTTAAAAGTATTACTGTTTTGGCATTTATTATTTTAAAATCAAACAAAATTGCATTTTTCTTAAAAAAATATGAAAACCGAAAAAAATCTGTAAGTTAGACTTGGTTTGAAAAGCAAGAATAAATTGATTTTTTAAAATTAAGAATATTTTAAAAGAAGTAAATATATACTTAATTATTTAGAATATTTTTAATTTATATTTAGACCAAATTAAATCAAATTCATTAATTAATTAGATGGCATATGACACTTACCCAAACTATTGACAATAAAGGAACAAAATCAAGAAAGACTCAGCCCAAACAAATAAAATACAATTCATTACAGTTCAACTTATAAAAAAAGGCCGCCCTCTAATATTAGAAATAAGATGCAAAAGTTTTTTAATTTATCATAAAAAGAAGTTATTATATTATAATATGTAAATATTAGAAGTGTTCATGAGTCCAGCAAGGCCAGACCTGAGGAATCATTTTTAAAACTAAACTCGACATCGAACCTGACTCACTCATTAAATTAGTATTATATTATTAACATAATAATATAATATTTTATATTAAAATTTTAACATTTTTAAATAAAAACTATGTTATTTACAAATAAAATAATATAGTGCGACTAGATCTGGACTTGAGCTAAAAAATCCATGTCCGAACTCGACCGAGTCAAGCTAGGCCGGTGGGGCGGACACCTTTAGTAAGTACGTATACTTCCTAGAAAGAATTGTACAAAGAAGAAAAGAATGGATAGATGTAGCGTTAAATCCATTCATAAAAGGATGAATAAGAAAGCAAAGGTGGTACAACATTGAGTGGCAAAATAATGACAGCATCTTCTTCTAGGGTGAGGACCATCACTCGTTATACTGTAATCCGTCCTTTTTGTCGACACTGTGTTTCAACTCAAAGTGTTAAAAGGGAGAAAAAAACAAAGAAAAAGAAAAAGAAACTGAAGTGAAAGCAGTAGAAAGCCCATCCATCCAAGCTCCTCACCCTATATAATCATGAGGAAGATTTTTAGCCTCCCCTAAATTATACCCAATAATGAAAGAATTTCCTTCACTACACTGCAAGGTAGCAAATCTGCATATTTCTTGAGAGGTCCCAATAATGAATGGAAGAATTATAATATATATATATATATATATATATTAGCACGTGAGTCATAAACTCAACAATGCCACATGGTAACAATTACCTCAGATTGATGACAATGTGATAATTTTTTAATTTTACATATATAGGGCGACTCATATGATAAAAAACATCTTTGTAATAATTTCATGATGAAGTGAAATTAAATGTTGTGTTGCAAAAGTTTTTGATGGTTGCTAACTAGCATTCACATGGGGCTTCTTTTATTTTTCTTTGCAGCATTTACTGAGGAGCTTCTAGCTTGTGTTGGATGGGGAAATTTCATGGATTTGGTACTCATTTATGGCTGTCACCTTTAATATTCAATGGGGTATATCCCACACTTATCAATGTGGCTTTATGATCAATTTGTCATTCTCCAAAAACACGCAAATAATAGAAGGAAATTTCAATCTTCGTTTCTTTGGCAGAGCATCGGCTTGAATGTGATCCCTAAGGGTTTCAATATCTCTATACTCAATCGTTAAAGCACT